TTTGAGATTTTATTCTTCATGAGAAAGCAATTCTGTGTTTCTCAGCTGCTCTTCTGAAACATTTCCATCTTTTATCACTTCTTCCCAGATCAGGTGTCTTGCTCTAAACTTACTCTGTGGATGGCAGAAGCAAGCAGACTGCATACCCAGGGAGGCACATGGTGATGATCTTGGTGAGACCAAGAATTCTAGATTAATCCTGTCCATTCTTCCCTTTCATAGGTACCACAACTCCCAGGATTTTCTTGGATCAAACCTTGTATCTCTTCCCCAAGTATTGTGTATATTGGTCTAAGAGACGTAGATCCTCCCGAACAGTAAGTTGACCCATTTGGCTTAAATTTAGGGCCTGTCCTAGCCAATTATGTTCCATTTGAAAGGCTGATGCTTGACTTGGTCTATTTGTAGGTCACTACAACAAACCCACCCCCTCCCCCAAATACACATTTGTTAAAAATGCTCTTTAAACTAAGGACTCCTTCCTTTATATCTCATCACAGTTTTATTTTAAAGAACTATGATATCCAGTATTTTTCCATGAGAGATATTGATCGACTTGGTATCCAGAAGGTCATGGAACAAACATTTGATCTGCTGATTGGCAAGTAAGTAACTATAACTGATGTCAGGGCAAACCCCCAATGGGTAACACACTTTACCTTGTTTCTTAAGGACAGCAGCTTTACTTCAAAAATAAAAAGCAAAAATGTACACATAATTTTAAATAGTTCAGAAAGGCAAAATTATGAAACACAGGTGATATTCTTCCTTTGGAGTTTTTGGGAGGAGGTTTCCTCTAAATCATTGCCTAGATCCTCTGTCTCATGAATTTTTCTTTTTTTTTTTTTTGAGAAAGAGTTTTGCTCGTTACCCAGGTTGGAGTGCAATGGCACGATCTCGGCTCACCACAACCTCCGCCTCCTGGGTTCAGGCAATTCTCCTGCCTCAGCCTCCTGAGTAGCTAGGATTACAGGCACGCGCCACCATGCCCAGATAATTTTTTTTTTTTTTGTATTTTTAGTAGAGACAGGGTTTCACCATGTTGACCAGGATGGTCTCGATCTCTTGAACTCGTGATTCACCCGCCTCAGCCTCCCAAAGTGCTGGGATTACAGGCATAAGCCACCGAGCCCAGCTCATGAATTTTTCTTTATCTCCATCTTTAATGCTTATCTTCTCAGATGAGAAGCATTCATTGTTTCAATTGTGCCATTCTTCCCAGCCTCACAACTGTTTCATCTGAGTTTTATGTTAAGCAAATCTTGGCAGTATAGATACTAATCAAATGGTAGTTTTCAGAGCATTTTCCCAATACCAGGTCAATACCAGGTGATTGTCAGAATTGTTATCTGGTAGTATGTCATTTTGTAAACTGTTAAGAAACATGGTTGTTAGCTTCAGCTGTTGGACACTGTGGGCTATAATGAAGTTGGAAATGGAAGATGTTAAGACTGTAGACCTAAAATTAGAGTTCACTTCAGCTGCTGTTACATTCAGAGAATAACAGCAACTGTAACCTACATCAAGGCAATTTAAATTAGACTGTATCAGATGCCAATCTCATCTAGAAGTGAAGAAATCCCTCTATTGACAGTTACTAGTATAAGAGGTTCTAATACCCAGGGTAAGCCAGAAATTTACATTGGGGTTAGTTTGTCTGAGGCATGCAGAACAAATGGCAGTATCATGCAGTGGTATGTAGGAGGTTAATATGCCAATCTCAGTAACTTCCAAGAATAGGAAGTCTGGAAATTTACTGACAGCTTTATTAACAGAGTACCAGGACTAACAGCAACAAAATCAAGGCGCTGCAATCAAAAGAAGGATGAGTATCCAAGCACAACCAGATAAGTACTATTTTATCCTCTTCGTTTCTAGGAGACAAAGACCAATCCATCTGAGTTTTGATATTGATGCATTTGACCCTACACTGGCTCCAGCCACAGGAACTCCTGTGGTAGGAGGACTAACCTATCGAGAAGGGATGTATATTGCTGAGGAAATACACAATACAGGTATGTAGCAACCAGGTCTGCAGCCTGTTAACTACGTAAGTAAATATGCTGGAGTCTCTTGCCTGCAAAGATCTTTTCTGCTATTCTATATCATTGCAGTTTGTTTTTGTTTAAACTTTTGTAGCTAAAAATTATATGGCCAGGCTAAAAAAAGGATATAGTCCTTTAGAGTCATGTTTGGCAATGGCTCTTACCAAATTACGGTAAGGTAATAATGAGTTAAAAATTGTATATTTAAATAATTAAATACAAGAATAAACTGTCAAACTGATGCAGTTCTTTGTGTCTGAGTTATCTAAGGCAGATTAAGATAAGAAGGCGAAGGCAAGGCTACAATTTGCACTTTAACATTAAGAGGTTGGTTCATTGTGAGTTGTGAATTAGGAGTTAAAGCTAACCACTTGAAGAAATCTGCAAATTGGACAATATCTTGGGTCCTTTATGTAAGGTAGGTCTTGTACTACAACTTGATAGATCTCTAATAAGGGGGATACAGTTAGATGAGAATGACTGATGGAAAGAGTATTAAGATGAATTCTATGTTATCAAGACTGGCTACAAGGGGTTAGCCACTCTTTCCCAAAACTCATACTTGTTTGCAAACAGTTTCCAATTCTGTCAAGAAGCTTCTGATTTTAAAGCTATTTCAAAATTTAAAGAACTACCAAATCATACTGCTTCAGTAACCATCTGATAGAACTAGGGTATAGACAGAGACCCCAGATTGAAAGGTTCAGGGATATAGAGAACCCTTGACTAGCTGGGATAGAAACTGGCATTGAGAATGGTCTCTTTAGCTCTACAGCCTGCGAGAACCTTAGGTAGTACAGAAAGGAAGGCAGTACCAATCTGATTCTCAGTTCCACAATCTTAGATGTTGCCAGTGGTCCTTAAGTTACTGGCCAGAGAACCTGGGAATTTCTCTGTTTTGCTTCCTAAAAACACTTAGAGCAAGGGTTAATAACCACTAGCACTTATATGTGGCAGTGGCCATGGCTTGTGTCTTTCTTCCCCTGCTACAATATTTTATTCCCAAAGACACTCATGGAGCTATGCACAGTGGCTCATACCTGTAATCCCAGCACTTTGAGAGGCCAAGGCAGGAGGACTGCTTGACCCCAGGGGATCAAGACCAGACTGGGCAACATAGTGAGATCCTGTTTCTATAAAAAATAGCCAGGTATCCCAACTACTTGGGAGGTTGAGGTGGTTTGAGTCCGGGAGGTTAAGGCTGCAGTGAGCCATGATCGCGCCACTGCACTCCAGCCTGGGCAACAGAGCAACACTTTGTCTCAAAAAAAAAAAAAAAATTGTTATAATGCTGTCAACTAGATAGATACATAAAGTAGTTTGCTTAAATTAATTTATAGGATGGCAACAGTCTGGAAACATAAGTCATACATGTATTGCTAATAAGGCAAACCTTGATTACCACTTCTGGGATATGCTAAAGGTGCAGGTTTAGTCAGTGGAAATCAGAGACAAATCAGGAACACAGGTGTCCATGCGCAGGAAATGATGGAAATGCTACAGTAATACACTTGTTCATTGCAGTTTGGCACTGTACACTCGACTATGCATTGCTAATAAGGGAATATGCTGAAGGGACATGATGGCATTGTGCACATCATGTACTATAGTGTAATATCAATAAACCATTGGGTACATTCACACATGTTTCCAGACTTTATGGCCACCCTAAATATTCTTAGATACTTGTATTCTTGAATACTAGCTTGTTCAGATCACCCTTCACCCAGAATAACTAATTAAAAAGTTAAATTCTATGGAGAAATGAGGCATTTAGAGGGGTGGGCATGGTAGTGGGTCTGTACAGAGTCTTCTGGTCTAAGCTTCCCTTCCACCTGCTCCAGGCAAAAGGAACACTACTGAGAGCTTTGACACAAGTTCTCAAACCTTAACAAATGGCTGAATCTTCTCTTGATCAAGTGCAAGAGACTGGGTCAGTCTGCTGGGAGAAAAAACATGTGTCAGATGTGGAACCTGCCTCCAGAGCTCAGGCCTGCAGGGGTGAGAATGAAGTTTGCAGTAATAACTACATTTCAGGATATATGGTGTGGTGCTCTAATAGATACAGATAGAGCATTAGAGTTCAAAAGTAGGAATGGAGTTCTGGCTAGTGAAAAGTGGGAGACTTCCTCTGCCTTCATACTTGATTCATTTCCAGGCAGGCATCTAGAAGGTTCCTAGTCATACTGGAGATGGCATACATTGTTCTAATAAGCAGGTTGAAAACCCCCTGACCCCACACCAAGCCTTTTCCAGAAAGCCTGACAATTATACCTATTATGTTAGTTGAACAGGGATGGTTTACTTCATTATCATAAAGTTTTCTTTTAATCTACTGTAGCATAACAGAATTTTAAGTTAAATTCATGGATAAGAGGATGAGGTGCAAGGGACTTCCTGAAAATAGGTATTTACTACAAAATTGACTCTTGTTTTTACCTTGGCTTGTTCTCCCTGTCCCAGTGGGATGACCCTCACTGAGTAGCAGCAAAGGAATCTGAGGTTTTGTTACACTTTGTTCTTCCAGGGTTGTTGTCGGCACTGGATCTTGTAGAAGTCAATCCTCAGTTGGCCACCTCAGAGGAAGAGGCAAAGACTACAGCTAACCTGGCAGTGGATGTGATTGCTTCAAGTTTTGGTCAGACAAGGGAAGGAGGGCACATTGTCTATGACCAACTTCCTACTCCCAGTTCACCAGATGAATCGGAAAATCAAGCACGTGTGAGAATTTAGGAGATACTGTGCACTGACATATTTCACAATGGGCATTCCAGAATTATGAGGCATTTGAGGGGACAGATACTAAATGGCTGTCTGGTCAATACTGCCTTAATGAGAATATCTGCATATTCTCACAAATGTAAAGTTTCCCTTCTATTTTGGTGACCAATACTACTATAAATGTATTTGGTTTTTTTTGCAGTTCACAGGGTATTAATATGCTACAGTACTATGTAAATTTAAAGAAGTCATAAACAGCATTTATTACCTTGGTATATCATATTGGTCTTGTTGCTGTTCCTTCACATTTAAGTGGCTTTCCATCTTTCCTTCCCTTCTCCCACAGTCTGGCTACACAGTGCACCCCTGAACTGTTAGCCCACAGCAGCAATATGCTTATTCTATCCACATCCCTAACATCATGCATTCACAAGGTCAAAGTCTGGTCCACAAACCCTTTTCTATAGGAAGTTCAATGGCTGCGAAAGAATTTGTAGTAAACCAGGCCTCCCAGGATGGCGAGCTCCAGTAAGATGATGATGGAAAGCAGCAGCTTGTTGGTTGTCACTCTACAAAGAAACAAAGTGGGGAGTAGTCAGAATTTTGGATAACCTACTTTGGGGTTTGACCTGGGACCAAGGCTGGATACTCTGAGGCTGTTTGTCTGATCACACAGCCACTTAGCAGGAAGTACATATAAGGTTCTTTAGCTGTCACTTAGGAATAATACTGTCTACCTCACAGTAATGTTAAACTGAGACAATAAAAACCAAAGCACAAAAATGATTTCTTGACTCTGAAATGTCTTCAAACAGTAGTTATTTCCTTTAAAAATAGCTTTTCTAGAAAGAGGGGTTATCGAGAAAAAGTAATCAAATATACATCCTGTTCAGAATGGGTCCTGCCCTAGGATAAAGTAACTTAGAAGCCTGGGTAATACCTTTCAATCCCTTGTAAACTTCTATTCCTCTGCCCTATTTTTCCCTTTGCTCTCCTATCAACCCAAATGGATATGTTATAAAGGTAGTACAGGAGCTTAAAAATCCAACCTCTGGTTCTCATGTTCACTCTAGGCTTCTTCCTCTTCCACAAAGAATTTACCACTGTAGAAAAATCTCACCCCTCCTGCTAGTTACATGACTGAGTTGTAGTTTTGTTTTATGCTAGGCCACCTGTACACAAGGTCACACACAATCCTCTCTTAAACCCAATTTCAACCTCAGTGGCAATATTTCTGCCCTGGATTTGTTGCTATTAGCACAAGGGTTTTGTTTTTTACTTTTGGTAAAGACTACTTTACTGGTGGCAGTTAGTACAATTCAAATATTGATCTTCAAAGAAGGGCTTAGAGATCTTCAAAAAGGGCTATTTATCAGACTAAGAGTCCATAGAGAGCTGAATGAAACTGAATTAAGTCACTGTGATGACTGGTCAATCCTGTTTCTTGGGAAATGAAACCATAGCCAACTGATGATGCATGGCATATGCTGCTTCACCAATTGAGAATCATGGTGGCTCTATATAGGAGGTCATCAGCTCCACCACCCTTTAGATGCCAAGAATTCCGTTCTCCTCCCGAAACAGCTTGTGTTTCCTGGAGCTTCATTTTCAAAATGCCTGTGTGAAGCAATGCTCCAGGTCCTCTGGGCAATCTGGCAGTGCCAGCAGATTCTACAGCATCTTGCCTCAGTTAATGCCCACCAACCCTGACAACTCCCTAAGGGTTTTATTTTTAAAAATCTACTTCTTGCTAACAAGACAGAACTTCCAGAAAAGGTGCTGACTCCCATGAAGGGCAAACAGAGCCAAAACACAAGTACTATGCAAGTGAAAACTGCTTTCTAATAGAGATTTTACAAATATATTTCAAGGAATAGGAAGCTCTGTTATTCCCACGTGCTGCGTTCTCTAACGAACATCAGCTGTGATTAAATGTCCTTTCAGTGGAGAAATTTTTCACTGCTCTAAGTCAAAGCAGTATATTCTTTTAACAAATGATTTTATCCTGAGCTACTTATCCAAGACCATATTCCTTAGTGTATTTCTTCTGATCTGCTGGGTAGCACTGAGTATACGGGGACTATCTGGCATCAACTGCTGAGGTGCTTTATTAGGACTTTTGTAAGTCACTATTTTAAGCTTTTTGGTTGAAAGACATTAAGACAAATTTCATGACTTTTAAAAACTTACTTTCTGGACATTGAACGGAGAATCTTTCGACTTTTGCTCAAGTTTTCACTTGTGTTTACCAGCTGAGAAGAGAAAAGAGTGATTATTTCCTTTCAAAAGTACATTCTGTACAATTTTAATATCCCTAGATTAACAGTGGGCATTAAGGGCTGTTGAAAAATTCCAAGAAATCAAGCCAATTTAAATGATGGCCTTTGCGTATAAGTAGAACCTGGAAAGGACAAGATATTTTAGTATTCATTAAGTAGGCTTACGAATCATTATATTCCTAGGTTGCTGCCAGGGATGGACTCCTGAGACTGAGCTAATCTTTCACTATGGCTACTCCAAAAGGGAAGCCTTCAAGTACAGCCAGCAGATTGGACAGCCAGTGACTGCAGAGGAACTTAAGATCTGAATTTCATCAGCCAGATTTCAGGACAGCTTCTTGAGGTGGCATTTGCTTTTTGTTTTTGTTTTGAGAAAGAGTGTTGCACTGTCACCTGGGCTGGGGTGTAATAGTGCAATCTCGGCTCACTGCAACTTCTGCCTCCCAAGTTCAAGCGATTCTCCTGCCTCAGCCTCCCAAGTATCTAGGATTACAGGTGCCTGCCACCATGCCTGGCTCATTTTTGTATTTTTATTTTTTTAGTAGAGACAGGGTTTTCATTACATTGGCTAGGCTGGTCTAGAACTCCTAACCTCGTGATCTGCCTGCCTTGGCCTCCCAAAGTGCTGGGATTACAGGCGTGAGCCACCACGTCTGGCTGCATTTGTATTTGTAGGTTAGTGTGTTACTGCTTTTGGGATCTCGTTATCTTTTTTCTTTACCCTCTTAAGAGACAGTTACATTGAATTGTGAAAGGAATTAACCTCCATGGAACTTTCAACTGCCTGCTACTAATCTGGACAGCTGGAGGATATTTCACCTCCAGCAGATGTCCACCTGCCATCTGTTCCCATTCCCCAGTGGCCTTGGTAAGCTGATCTCTCAGCTTATTCCTTGGCTTTTATTTATTTGAGACAGGGTCTTGCTCCATCACTCAGGCTGGAGTGCAGTGCTGCAGTCGCAGCTCACTGCGGCCTCAACCTCCCAGATTCAAGTAACACTCCCAGCTCAGTCTCCCAAGTAGCTGGGATCACAGTTGTGTACCACCACACCCTACTTTTTTTGATTTTTAGTAGAGATGGGGTTTCACTATGTTGCCCAGGCTGGTTTCAAACTCCTGGGCTCAAGCCATCCTCCCACCTCAGCCTCCCAAAGTACTAGGATTATAGGTGTAAGCCTGGCCTCCTGGGCTTTTAAATTCAACCAATCTACTTGGTATGTTCAAAAACCAGAACCCCTATGATCTGTAAGCAAATTATATTCTTCATAGCTTGCCTTGAATTTAGTACTTTATTGTGAATTTTCACTGAAGAGGGAAGGGCATTACTCTGACTTAATGGAGAATTCTAGCTATTAAGATCTACTCAAATCTTCACACTGAGCTAGTATTTTCCTGTCCAAATCTTGGTCCCAGTATGTTTTTCAATCTGATTTGCCTTCTGCTATTAAGAATACACATTCTATTGGCAAACTGTACTAATTTAAAATTCCAGCCAGGCACAGTGGCTGTAATCCCAGAGTTTTGGGAGGCCAAAGTGGAATGATTACTTGAGCCCAGGAATTCAAGAGCAACCTCACCAACACAGTGAGACCTGGTCTTTACAAAAAATTACAATTAGCCAGGCACAGTGGCACATGCCTGTAGTCCCAGCTACACACAAGGATCACTTGAGCCCAGGAGTTTGAAGGTACCGTAAGCTATAATTGCACTGCTGCACTACAGCCTGGGTGATAGACCAAGACCCTGTCTCTAAAAAACTAAAAAATTCCTATGAAGGTTAACTATTTATGGAAAGGAAAAAATAAATGAGTTCTTTTTCGGAGTCTCTCAGAGTGACAGCAAACTAGAGTTCCCTGATACAGTCGTCACTTGGTTTAAATATTTGTTTTCTTTCCACAATGATCCAGCTTACCTTACTGGATAATCCTTAGAGATTTTTTTCCCTATTGCTTTTTTTTTTTTTTAAGTATTATATAATAGTAAAGAGTTATAGTCTAGAATTGAACCATAATTTATATAATCTATAAACTGCCTATAAACAGTGGTACTATTTTAGGAAATCTGGAAAATAGCCTCAACTCTAAATGACAGGGTGTAAGTAGATGATGTTTTCATAAGAATAGCAGAATACTGTACTAGATGTATGAGAAATTAAAATCTCATATTGGCAGCTTTTAATTCCTGTAATCTTTTAAGTGCATAAATCAGGTTCCTTCTGTCATTTTTTCCTTTCATTGAAGCAAAAATTTCCAATGATGTCTAAATCTTAGGAGTAAAATTACTTCTAACAGAGATCTCTCAGCCAAGCAAACTTAAAAATTGAGAAAAGCAGCCGCGTACAGCGGCTCATGCCTGTAATCCTAGCACTGTGGGAGGCTGAGCCAGGTGGATCACCTGAGATCAGGAGTTCAAGATCAGCCAGGCCAACATGGTGAAATGCCATCACTACTAAAAATACAAAACTTGGCTGGGTGTGGTGGCACATGCCTGTAATCCCAGCTACTCGGGAGGGTGAGGCAGGAGAATCGCTTGAACCCAGGATGCAGAGGTTGCAGTGAGCGGAGCACACCACTGCACTCCAGCCTGGGCAACAAAGCAAGACTCCATCTCAAAAAATATAAATAAATAAATAAATAAAAATTGAGAGAAGCATAAGAACCTAAAAAAGACTATTCCCTGAATTCAGAACTGCCGTAGCTTTTGGTCTTAGTATGGTTTCCAGGTGCAGTGGCCTCTCAATTTCCCCATACTTGCCCCTTTCCCTTTCTGCCCAGCCTTACTCTATTCTTTGTGCGTTCTAACTGGTCTCGTTGTTCCCCCAGCTCTTCTATGATTTCTGAACCAATCTGGTCAGTCTCCGTGGCAATCCGATGAGAACGTTCAATACTTTGGGTGGCCCGGTTCAGGCTTTCAGTGCCTTGTAGAAGCAGTGACCTTTGAGACTGCAGCCGATTCTGAAAGGAGTATGGAAGACAAATGTTAAGACTTCTTCCATTATAAATTCATTGCCAGCATATTCCTCCTGACCTTCCCCATGTAAGAAGGGATACAGTAAGCAATAATTTTCATTCCTTTTAAGACAGAACCAAAGCTAATGATTCTTTTCAAGGTTATAGACTAAAGCATAACCGGAAATCCAATTAATAGGATCACAATACCCTTACTCCACTGCCTTTTACACTTACACGAGGCAAGGAAAGATGGATTAAAAATACTGGAGCACTTTCCCTGTGTTGGTGATGAATTTGAACTGGTCCATATGTTTCCTGGACTATCAACTTCTGAAAGGTGGCAGCCCAGATGTGGCAGGTGTAGAAGCTACCTGATAATGCATATAGCCTGTAACTTTGATAGTAATATGGGCAAACCAACTAAACTCTGCAGCCCTAGAAAAAAAATTAATTCACTGAAGATACCCACTTGACTGGGACTGAGGATTGAAGGATCATGAATGAGCTATTCTTTTCTTCGTTTTAAGCCTCTGGCACCTGGTATTTACAGGGGGTCTCCCATCCAAGTACTAACCAGGCCTTAGCTTCTGAGATAGGGTGTGTTCAGGGTGGAATTGCCTAGATGAATAAATTCTTCTTTTTCAGCATGTAAAGAAATCATTTAGAAGTCTGAGACACTACCACATTCTGGAAAAAAATGTATGTGGTTCACTCTTGATGAGCTCCACAAAGAACTTCACCTGAGGTCAAACAAAAAACCCTGAGCTGCCACACTGGGGGTGATCTGGTCTCAGGGAAATTAGTGTCTGGGGCTTGAGCAAGCTTCCCCAGCTGCCCTAATTTCTCAAGTACCCTAATTTTCTAAATCCTCACCAAAACCTGTAATCCTAAATGCAGACAGCATGAAGATGAAAGTAGCTTTTGTCAGGCCAGAATTAACAACCACTGACAGAAATGGCAGCAGCTCTAAGTTCTTAGCTGTTCAAAGCACACACACACACACACACACACACAATCAAAAGGTACCCAGCTCACAGAGGCTTATTACAGAGCAGGTGACCACTGGCAGTAGGATCATCAAGAAGCCAAAAGATTGGCTCTCAGACCAGAAGTAGCAAGAAGTAGCATTTTCTTTTTTCTTGAGACAAAGTCTCACTGGAGTGCAGTGGCGTGATCTCAGCTCACTGCAGCCTCTGCCTCAGCCTCCCGAGTGGCTGGGATTACAGGCACCCGCCAACACACCTGGCTAATTTTGTATTTTTAGTAGAGACAGAGTTTCCCCATGTTGGCCAGGCTGGTCTCGAACTCCTGATCTCAGGTGATCTGCCAGCCTCAGCCTCCCAAAGTGCTGGGATTACAGGCACAGGCATGAGCCACCATGTCAGGTGCTCTGTAGCATTTTCACTTGATAAATAGCATATAGACCAGTAGATGAGGAAACCACTAAATGAGGTTCAAATAAAACCAGTAGAACCACACTCCACCCGCCTGCCCTTTTCCAGCCTCCCTTTTCAAGTGATCTGTCAGCTTCTAATCTGTGACGATCCCTCGTACATCTGTGCGAAAATTTTAAAAACATCAGCCTCAAAATGTCTAGTTTTGCATCAGCAATGTCAAGCCAATATCATTTTCAATGTCTCTTAAACTATAATCAGGATGCATCATGAAACAGGAGTTGTTTAAAACTGTAGTATGAGCCTTTCTACCTCTGTTCAGACTGCACTGGTGGGCCCCTTTCCATCTCTCTTCTGTGTTACTTGCCAGGCAAGTCTTACTTTGTGTTGTGTTTATGGAAGATAGACCAAATGCAGCACATTTAACCTTTCAGACGTTTAATTTCTTTAACGACTAGCTTCTTAGATGGTTTCAGAATACAGATGTTCAATTAGTCCAATCTTATAAATTAGAATCCTGAAAACTAGAGAGCAGTCTGGCTCACTTTCCATTACCACAGAATAAAATGATAAAAAGCTCCACGAGAAGCACCCTGCATTGGCTACAGTATCTCAGTTGCTGGGCCATCTTGACATTAAGGTAAAGGAAAGCTTGGATTGATTTTGAAACAATACTCTGATAAATTAGAAACCTAATGGAATTTTCCAGGCATACTTGAGAAAGTGATTCTAAAATTTATATGAAAGAATAAAAAAGATCAAGAAGAAATTAGATCAATGGGTCAGAATCCAGAAAAAATAAGTAACACTTATATACTACTATATACAAAGCACTATTTTTATTATAAGACTGTATTATATTAAGGATAAAAGGAAATCTAAATATGCATATGATTAGAAAGGGCTACATTAAATAGAGCATATACCAAGGGAATAACAGGAGCTGGATGCAGAAAAGAGGATAAGGGTGAAAAAAATATTTTCTAGTATACACTGAAAACATGAAATAATCCAATGATATGGTTAATTTTTGTACCACAGGCCCTTAAGGAAAAAAAAGGAAGCTAAAACTTACCATATGCTCATTTTCTACAGCATATATGCCATACTTCATATCTCCTCGGCCTCCAGGCGTGGCTGTCAAAGGTGTGCTTCTCACCTCCCGATGGATTTTGGCAAGGTCCTTCCGGTAGTTTCGAAGCTTAGACATCATGGGGTTACGGAAAGAGAGGGGTGCATAACGTAGCTCCTCCTCCATCTCTGCCAGCTGGGAAGGCAGAAAGTAGTGAGTAGATGGCCTGGTTCTTCCCTCACTCATTTGGAAATATGCCTAGTTTGGATTAATCAAACTACTTATTTATTTGGACTACACCAAGTAAATAATTCAACCATATGCTACATAAGGCAGGACCATTTCTGGGATGTTCTTCTCAATCCAAATGCCTAGCACAGTGCCCAGCAAGCACAGAGCAAGCATTCAAAATATATGAACTGAATGAATGAATGGAGAGACAAAAGTATTTTAGAGCTTACTAAACATGTTTCTATATATCCTCCATTTAATCCTCATAACAAATCAATAAGGTAGCAAATGTTCCATTTCATATATGATTTACAGAAACCTGCTAAAGATTACACAAAAAGGAGGAGTCTGGACCAGGCATAGTGGCTCCTGCTTCTAATCTCAGCCCTTTGGGAGGCCTAGGCAGAAGGATCATTTGAGCATAGCCTGGGCAACACAGCAAGACCTCATCTCTATAAAAATAAAATTAAAAAGGAGTCAGGATTCAAAATCTTCAAATTCTTGGCTCTCTTCAATATACGGTTGAACACTGCCATCAAGAAGTGCTTTGAAGTCTACTGTACTAAAAACTTTTCCTGCTCCTCTTTCTGAAAATCAATCATGTTTGTCTCCATGTCAGAGACAACCAGGGGCCCACCTCAGAGCAGGTGCTTTAGAGGAATCAGACTTCCATTCTTCTAGGATAAGTAAAATGTAACACCTGGGGATGTTCACAAGCAGCCCTAAATTATTTTCATCTGCCTGGAATGGTCAAGGTAGGATTATTTTGTTGAGTTCGAAGAAAACAAGTATCTGAGCACCAAACAAATCAGTAGTAGCTAGATTTTTAAAAGGCTACCAATATGTTAATCAAAACAGGAGAATGGCTACAAACAGGTATCATGGACATGCCCAGCTGTACACAGGTATTAAGAAAAATTCCTAGTACTCCCATTAGGAAGAAGATAGTTTCCACAGTCTGGTAGCCTGGTCCTTCGTAAAGCACATGCAAAACAGAGAAAAGGATGCAGATGTGCTTCTTTTTCACTGGGATAACTGGGAAATTGAGAAGTTGATCTTCAACAGGCAAGAAGGCAGTTCGCTGGCTAAAACAGAATTTTTTTCTCCATCTGCTCTGGGATGGCAAAAGCAGGGGCAACTATTTCTGCAGGGTTCTAGCAGGGACCAGGATTTTGGCCCCAGTCTTAATGGGTTTGCTAGAGTATAATGAAATGGAGTCAAAGGACTCTTGCTTCCATAGAGCTGGAGGAAAAACAAACTTTTTTTTTTAAAGAAAAGCCACAAGTGAAGAGAAGCAACTTCTGACAAACTTTAGGTCCCACCTGAAGCTCATGCATGTCTTGCCTGAGGTACCAAGTCCAGCTACAATGCTGTCTTTTAAGACAGAAAGGGACATGGTTAGAATCACCTCTGAGCTACATTTTCTGTGTCAGTAAGTTTAACAAAGAACAGTTTTTTTCTTTTTTTTGAAGCAGGGTCTTGCTCTGTCACCCACACTGGAGTGCAGTGGTGTGATCATGACCTTTCAGGCTAAAGTGATCCTCCCACCTCAGCCTCCTGAGTAGCTGGGTCCAGAGGCATGCACCACCAATCCTGTGTAATTTTTTTTTTTTGGAAGAGATGGGGGTCTCCCTATGTTGCCCAAGCTGGTCTTGAACTTCTGGCCTCAAGTGATCCTCCTGCCCTGGCATCTCAAAGTGTTGGTATTATAGGTGTGAGCCACCACACTGGCCAGTAACCTATCTTAATGGCCAGCTCTTAAAAAGAGATTTTAAGAGACTGCTTGGGTAAGGGTATGAGAATGCCCTTACTACTCACATCAGCAATATATTATCAAAGACTCATATTTCAGGAGAGTCTTCAGGTTTTACCCATTTGTGTTTGTCAAACCTCCTTAATACCCATCCCCATCAGTTGGCTTCATTTAGTAAAAAACAGTCAAAATCAAGATCAACAGACAGGAAGTTAATCTGTGATCAGTTCATAGCATTACTTCTGGAAAAGAGGAAGACCACGTAGAAGAAACAAAATTTTTTCACTCTCACCGTTTCATTTGCTTCCTGTTGTTTTTCATCAAAATCCCTGATCAACTTCTTCTTCTCTTCTAGAAAATGCAGATAAGTTTCAAATGCTTATTACTATTTCCACACATTTGTAAAGGCCATTCCCTCTGCTTAGAATAAGCTTCTTATTCCTCCCCTAGTGAGAGTAGTACTCAGTCATCTTAAACAGGCATTTAAAAATGACACAGGCCGGGCTTGGTGGCTTACATCTGTCATCCCAGCACTTTGGGAGGCCGAGGCAGGTGGATCACTTGAGGTCAGGAGTTCGAGACCAGCCTGGCCAACATGGTGAAACCTCATCTCTGCTAAAAATACAAAAATTAGCCAGGTATGGTGGCACATGCCTGTAATCCCAGCCACTTGGGAGGCTGAAGCAGGAGAACTGCTTGAACCCAGGAGGCTGAGGCTGCAGTGAGCCAAGACTGCACCACTACACTCTAGCCTGGGTAACACAGCAAGACTCTGTCTCAAATAGATAAACAAATAAAATGTATAGGAACTTATCACAATGACCGAGGAGGAGGAAAGAGAAAAAAGTATTTTTATTTTTATTTTTAGTAGAGACGGGGTTTCACCATGTTGGCTAGCCTGGTCTTGAACTCCTGACCTCAGATGATCCACATACCTCAGCCCCCAAAAGTGCTGGGATTATGGGCATGAGCCACGGTGCCTGGCTGAGAAAAGAATTATTCTTATTGGCATTTAGTACTCAGGGAACAAGAATACCCACATTTCGGACAGCGCCGCATAATTACTTGGTCCCCAAAGCCGACAGCATCCCTCGAAGAAATACTACAGTTTTAAGTTAATCATTCTCAACCTTTTCTTTTCCCTCATCCTAAGGGACTAGGCACACTTTTATTAGTAAGAATGTTTACCAATAGTGACTCTCTGAAACTCCTCACCTTCATGCCCACAGTGAACCACTTCTATGCTAACTCATATCTACTACTTTTCTGCAAAACGAATTTAAAAATCTACCTACTCTGCTTGCTGGGAGGCTGCCTGGTATGGTGCCTGTTTTTCTCTGGGTGTGGCACTGGTAATGACTCACACAATGAGAATGTTATTCATTCGCCTTTCAGCTCCCTTTCAGCCTTTCCCAGTCAGTCACTTTGGTGAGTGTATCTTTAACACCTAAAAATTACTAATCTCCCCTTTGAACAAAAATAGAACAGGCTTCAGCTTTTTTTTTTTTTTGAAACAGAGTCTCGCTCTGTTGCCAGGCATCAGGCTGGAGTGCAGTGGCACAATCTCTGCTCACTGCAACCTCCACCTCCCGGGTTCAAGCAATTCTCCTGCCTCAGCCTCCCGAGTAGCTGGGACTACAGGGGCACGCCACCACACCCAGCTAATTTTTGTATTTTTAGTAGAGACGGGGTTTCACCATGTTGGCCAGGATGGTCTCGATCTCTTGACCTGGTGATCCGTCCACCTTGACCTTCCAAAGTGCTGGGATTACAGGCTTAACAACATCGAACTAAAACAGTATTGTCTTCATTGTATTTTCTGATCACTTATACTACAGGTTTTCCATCTAAAATTAAACCAAGATTCATTTTTAAGTAACTTTGTTTTAAATAAATATATTTGAGATGAAATAAGCTGACATAAAGAAAATGATTAAGTAACAGTAACGGAACTTGGATGTGGCAAAAATTATGAAGTTGGTACCAGAATGCTGGTAAACAGTTGTATGGGTAAAATCCCTGGTTAGTCAGGGGGGTGAGGTTCTGGTGCCTGGTTGGGGCCTGCCTCAGCATGTAAGCTTGGATAATTTCCTTCATTTCTTTGGGAACTGACCTCTTCCTTCACTGACTATAAAACGAGGAAGTAGGTCATCCTCTAATAACTAACAAGCAAAAATTAGCGCCGTTCATGAGGAGCTTCATTTAAAAAAAATTTATACATCCAAATGAATGTTCTTCCTGGAAATCTACATGCAATCTACTTATCACCAGAAAGTTGCCATCGTTAACAATGTTTTTTTCTTTCTTTCTTTTTTTTTTTTCAGAAACAGAGTCTCGCTTGTCACCCAGGCTAGAGTGCAGTGGTGCAATCTCAGTTCACTGCAACCTCTGCCTTTTTGAACGTGTCTTTTGGAATTACCTTCACAGACTGGGGATACAGTCTTTGTTTCTTTTTTTAAATTGTGACAAAATATATGTCACATTACCATTTTGACCATTTTGAAGTGTATATCGTAGTGGCATTTAAGTACATTCACTCTGTTGTGGAGCCATCACCACTAACTATTCATCATCTTAGACTGAAATACCTCCCCATTCTATGAATTTGACTATTCCAGGTGCACCATTAAGTGGAATCATACAATATTTGTCCTTTGTGTTTAGCTTATTTCACTTAGCATAAAGTCAAGGTTCATCTATGCTGTATGGAGATACGGTCTTTTAAAGCTATGTATTTTTCTTTTTTTTGAGATGGAGTCTCACTGTCGCCAGGCTGGAATGCAATGGCACGATCTTGGCTCACTGCAACCTCTGACTCCCTGGTTCAAGCAATTCTCTTGCCTCAGCCTCCTGGGTAGCTGGGGTTACAGGTCCATGCCACCACACCCAGTTAATTTTTGTATTTTTAGTAGAAACGGGGTTTCACCATGTTGGCCAGAATGGTCTTGATCTCCTGACCTTGTGATCTGCCTGCCTCAACCTCCCAAAGTGTTGGGATTACAAGCGTGAGCTACCGTGCCCAGCCGCAGCTATGTATTTTTCAATGTGACTCCTAAATACAAGCCAGCACTTCCACCAACTAAAGGAAAAGCAATCTTTTCCACTGCAAGAGAGAACAGATGAGCTGGGCTTATGGAGAAATGGCAATGGGGGTATTCAGTTGCTGTCCTGAGATTTTCTTAGATGATTTGTCTACTCTGATTTTCATCTTAAGACCTGCCTTTTTTTTTTTGAGACTGTGTCTCACTCTGTTGTTCAGGCTGGAGTGCAGTGGCATCATCTCAGTTCACTGCAATCTCCAACTCCTGGGTTCAAGCGATTCTTGTGCCTCAGCCTCCTGAGTGGTGGGATTATAGGAGTGTACCACCACACCCAGCTAATTTTTCTATTTTTGGTAGAGACAGGGTTTCACCATGTTGGCCAGGCTGGCCTTTTGTGATTCGCCCACTTCAGCCTCCCAAAGTGCTGGGATAACAGGCGTGAGCCACTGCACCTGGCCACACCCTGACTTTTGAACCCAATCCTACAGAAGATGTAATGTCACTGTAATGCTTTCTATAGATTTACATTGTGTTAATCACAACAGCATCTGTCAGTTGTATCTTTTTTTTTGAGACAGGGTCTTACTCAGGCTGGAATGCAGTGGCATGACCACAGCTCACTGCAGCCTTGACCTCCTAGGCTGAAGCAATCCTCTCATCTATCTGCTCAAGCAATTCTCCTGCCTCACTGTCCCGAGTAGCTTAGACTACAGGTGCGTGTCACCACATCCAGCTAATTTTTTTTTTTTTTTTTGGGTAGAGATGGGGCCTCACTATGTTGCCTAGGCTTGGTCTTGACTCCTGGGCTCAAGCTATCCTCCCACCTCAGCCTCCCAAAGTGTTGGGATTACAGGTGTGAACCACCACACTTGTCCATGTATCCTACTTTTTAAGTGACCATAAATCATTTTGGATGCATATGTTCTATAATCTCAACTTAAGACTAAGTTCCTCTGAAATATGGAAATTTATTTTGTCATTTTTACTTTGTCCATAGATTCTTGAGCTATAAACCTCCTTAGATGTGCCTACTGCCTGAAAGAGCAAACAATAACACACCCTTTTCTATGTCTCATTCATTGCTGTGTGACACTCTCTTAATATACACAAGATACTCCAGATATTTTTCTCCATACTACTCATAAAACCTATGGCTCTGTTTGTTGTTTAAAAAAAAAAAAGTAGGGGAAAGTTCACCACAGCAAACGGTATGACTCTTGACCATCCACGACATAATTGAAATGACTAGAGAACCTCTCTTTGCTTTTGGCGCCTCACTGTGGCAAAATGGAGGACTTACACCCTTTATTTGTATACCGTGACAGTTGACACCATAGAGTAGTTAAAAGCATCAGATCCCTCTCAACCAATCTGTTTCCTCATCTGCAAAAAAGCACTATAAGAGTACTGATCTCATATGGGTTGTTATGTTACACATAACATTCACCTAGCAAGTGCCAAATATAATAAGGGCTCAATAAATACGAACCACCATTGTTTCTGAAAGTAAATAGGCAGGAAGACCTAAGAGCATAAAACAAAATTCAGTAGAAAATATGAGTTAAAATAGTTAAAATTCTACAGTCTGTAAGTAATTGGTGTTTATTGGCCAGTTGATTACAGTACTCCATTAGTGATTATTTTTTCTGGCTCCCCAAATAATAGGGTCTTGTGTTACACATACTGAAATCTAAATGACTTAAAATGGAAAAAAAATTCAATATTTTTACCATACTCATTAAGACATAAGGAGAGATGTCTTCAAGTATGACAAAACCAAAACTAGAAATCATGACCACAGGCATTTAACATATTGTTTAGACTCAGAAATTACGGCACATTATAGTGCTCTGAGCTAACTGGAGAGACCTCTTCAGAGGTTATAAAACCAAGACTAGAAATTATAGCCACAGGTACTTACTGAAATATTAAATGGAATAATTATTATTGTATGTGGACAGTCAATCCCACATACAATAATATGTGGACATTTTATGGACAGTCAATCCCACAAAAACTTCCTAAAATAGGACACATTGTCTCTAATGTCCTTCAAAGGCAGAAACTGAATGGAGACTGTACTTGGAAGAAATATTGTTTTTGTTGTTTTAATAGGTGGAATATACCCATTTTTAAAGTCATGAAAATATGAAAAACAGAATAGAAATACATCACAATTATATATTAATATTAGTATTTTCTTTCCAACAATTCACACTATTCACATATTCTATCATTTAACAAATATCTGTGGGGCACCTAGTACGTGCTAGGCACTGTTCTGGTGCTAAGGAAACACAGTGAAAGGAA